GACGTATCCAACCACAGCCGTGTTGCCGCCATGATGCGAGCGCTCCTGGTGACGACCACCTGTCCTCATATTTATCTGCAATATTATCTGCAATTTACTGCATGCTCATACAAACTACTTTGTGACGCATTAATTGACAGCAAATAACAAAAAATTGTCAATATCGAGTATTTCGACGAGTACTAAGTGGCTCGGAGTAGACGTAGACTATATCTGAAATTCCCTTAATATTCACCTTAAGTGCTCATATTGCAGGTTGTATAAATGAATAGCTTGTCTTCATTTTTTTATGTTTCTTCCTTGCTTTATAATATTTGTACATTACGAAACGGAGTTGTTTGGCATGTTACTCTCAGTTTTCATACCGGCGCTGCGCGCGTCTGCTCTATAAGCTTTAGCGTACCAAAGCGACCCCCTTGTGGCTATGGCATGGGTAATCCGGTCTAATCTGTACTCATTGGTTCTTTAACGAACTCCCGCGAGGCTAGGACGGCAAATCCAGGAATGTTCCAGTGAGTATACTTAGAAGCTAGAAGACTTAGATGCTCATGTAATTTAGGGCATTTTGAAGAACCTGTGGGCAAACACAACAGAACCCGAGCCTACCACCGCACGCAGTCAGTCCTACAGAGCTCTGCAAACTTTTTTCGGAGCCTCAAAGCCAAAGATTAAAGAAAATGAACTCACAGAAAACAAAAAAAAAACAAAACAAAAACATTGTATTCTACAGCCTTCACAATGCACCTGAGCTCAGAATTCAAACTCGAATCATTCTGCATAGCATCGCAGCAATGTGGCACTTCTGACATCGAGTACTTTAGGCGGCACACAGGCATTCGTGTTTCTTAATCATTCGGCTGGGACAAGTTTTTTTTTTCTTGTTTAGAATTGTTTACCATGTGGCACGCAAACTCTAGAGAGAAATTACCTTGAAAGATATAGTCAGTGAAACAAAAATTTTGAGGGCAGGACTTGACATCACCAGCGGGTGCCTAGTACAAACTCCAGAACATTTTCGAGACGTGAACAGACGTCTTTTTTTTTTCATACCATATCGCTTGTTTCTTTAATCTCGTGAGAACGCGTTAAGAGATCTCACGAAAAGGGGTGATTAATACTAGGGGCATATGTCCTTAGGCGCTTTTGCCCCTTCATAGTATAATGATCTGTCGAGGCTTCAAGCTCGCTTTGGTCAGTGAGATTTTCTTTATCCCCGTAGGAGGCTGAAAACAAAGAAAAAAAAGCTACCAGTACAAGCGAAATTGCTAAATGAAAAGACCCCATCACAACCAGGTAACGAGATTCTTAAAACAAAGCAAAAAATAAAACTGCTTTTTCTTCTACTGTATGCCTCTTGAAAGAAGCAGAAGTGGTGTCGACGTGGTGTAAACTCCTTTTAAATGGAAGCCCTATTAATCCGCGTTTCTCAGCCTCTCCGCTGCTTGAAGGTCAGGTGTGTCGCCTCCGTCACGGTTAAATCGCCGAACGCAGTGAACACGTTTTTAGGGTTGTGAAGCAACCAGAACGCTTCTTATAGTTGGGATAAGTTACTCTTTAACAAACATCATGTGGTCGAAAACGATTCGGAGTATCAGCGCAAACACTTCCCTCGAGAATACTGCAGAGTTCTTCTATCTAATCAATTTTGAAAGTCTCCATAGACCCCTTGCGATTTTTTTATGGAGAATGCCATGTGAAGGGCTGCGGAAATTTCGGCCACTTGAGGTTCTTTAACGCTCCCTTAAATCTAAGCACACGGGCCTACAGCATTTTCCTCTCCATCGAAAGTGTGGCTGCTGCGGACGGGATTCGATCCCGCGACCTGCGGACCACCAACCGAGTGCCTTAACCATTAGGCCACCATGGCAGGTTTATTTATTTACTTATTCATTCATTTATTTATTTATTTACTGAATACTGTCAACCCTCAACGAGGGTTATTACAGGAGTGGAAAATACAAACACTGTACAAGCAAGGTAATGCAACAAGATATCAAAAAATTAAACGCACACAGTAGTAACATCTTTACATCAAGTGTAGCGATCATGATATTGGCCGATGTACACGACATACAAACATATATACATTAGAAAACACGAGACATTCATTACCGATATTATAATATACTCTGACGTAATACAGTAAAGGAAGTATGTTGAAATAGTGTGAAAGGCAGCCACCCACGTGCACTGTCTTGAAATAGGTGAGGCATGACTTGGCTGCAGTTAAAGTTGAACTACTAACTTAGGCGTATTAAAACTTAAAATTTCAGAATTATTTGATCCATCTCTCAGTCTTAGGACAAATGCCGTGTTTTCTAAGTTTAAATAGGTTTGCATAAGAAGTTGCCATGCACAACCAAGTTTTACGCGTGGCTTTCTGGAAACTTGGCAGCGCACACAAACAGGACACAGTAGGAGTGGTACAAAGGCATAGACCCTTTTCAGAAGTTAATGTAATTTTTTTACTATGGAGTTTAAACAACTATTGGCGGGTGGTCACTTACTGCAAATAGTCTGTTCAAACGCAGTTTGCTTACGTAATGACGTACAAACTGCAGAGTTGGTTCTTTGGATATATAAACCCACAAAGACAAGCCCCAGAATTTTTAACAAGGACCGTGTCTCCGCTTGAAGCACGACAAATTTCGCGCTTACTTGGGCAAATATCGGAACAGAAACATCGGTAACTTGGAAACTTGGTGTTCCGAGTGGAACATGGTAATTAATCTTGAAAAAACTGCTCACTTGTGTATCACCAACAAAATCAACAAGTTTCACTTTAAATATGATATAAAAGGGTCACTGATTACACAAGTCGAAGAATATAAATATTTGGGTGTTACAATTACCTCAAGCCTCAACTGGACAACCCATATAGTAAATACATGCTGATTGATTGATATGTGGAGTTTAACGTCCCAAAACCACTATATGATTATGAGAGACACCGTAGTGGAGGGCTCCGGAAATTTAGACCACCTGGGGTTCTTTAACGTGCACCCAAATCTGAGCACACGGGCCTACAACATTTCCGCCTCCATCGGAAATGCAGCCGCCGCAGCCGGGATTTGAACCCGCGCCCTGCGGGTCAGCAGCCGAGTGCCTTAGCCACTAGACCACCGCGGCGGGGCAGTAAATACATGCTCTTCCGCACGTAAAAAACTAGGGTTCCTAAAGCACCGATTAGCTAATGCCCCCAGTTCTTTAAAGCTTAAAGCTTACAAAACAATGGTAAGGCCTTCCTTGGAGTACGCCTCCGTAGTATGGGACCCTCACACAAAAAACAATATACAAAAGATAGAAAAAATTCAGCGCCTGGCAGCCCGTTTTATTTACAGTAGGTATAGACGCCGCGATTCCGCCTCTGCGATGTTGCAGTTGGCAAATCTTGAACCTCTTGAGGACAGACGACGAGCTGCTCGACTTAACTTACTCCGTCTAATATATTTTTCTAAACTCGAAATAAAGCCAGAAAACTACATGGTAAAGGATTCTTCCAGGCCTTCCCGTCACAAACACAGCTATAGCATCAAGCCAATTTTCGCAAGAACTAATTTATACAAACACTCTTTTTTCCCGAAATCAATCTCTGAGTGGAATTTGTTGCCCCGAAACTCTACTCTTCTTTCCTTTTCACCATGAAATGCGCCCTGTGTTTCCTGGCTTTCACAATACTTGTTTGATTTAACAATTTGTTGTGTGCCTGAAAGTGTGGTGCTTTGCTTATGGATTGTGTTGCAGTGGGTGTACTCAGCCCTCTGAAAACGAGTATAATTTGATGGTGATTGCTATGTTTTTCTTACATTTCATGTATACCAGTATCAATTTTGTTGTAACTTTGTTGTACTTTTATTTTACATTTGAACTTGCTGTACCTTTCCTGCTTGGACTTTAAATGGTTCGCAGTATATGATAAATAAATAAATAAATAAATAAATAAATAAATAAATAAATAAATAAATAAATAAAACTTATAGCAGCACTACAGCAGTGCGCTCGCAGTTCGTCACGCGTTTTTTTTTTTTTTCAATTTTGCGGCCTTCTTTACAGCGTGGAAAAAATCACATCGCGAGACGTATCCTACAGGAAACCAATTAGTCGGTGGTTTCTGAAAGAGCTCTACATATCAGTGTTCATATTTTGGGTTTCCAGCCCATAACTAAGAATTAGGTATATATTATTAATTAACTAAGTAGTTTGAAGAGAAATAAAAAATTGGCCTGAGTACCTTCAGGCTAGTACGAGTAGTATGCGTTTGGTTTGATTCGCCTCCAAAGTGCCTTTCAGTTTCAAATTCTTGGCTCAAGTTATGTGGACCTGTAAATGCGGCCCTGTATACTGAGGGCCGCATTTATGAGGGCTGGTCGGCGTACGGTTTTCACAGCTAGTCTGTCTATGCGGGCCCCGCCGTGGTGGTCTAGTGGCTAAGGTACTCGGCTGCTGACACGCAGGTCGCGGGTTCGAATCCCGGCTGCGGCGGCTGCATTTCCGATGGAGGCGGAAATATTGTAGGCCCGTGTGCCCAGATTTGGGTGCACGTTAAAGAACCCCAGGTGGTCGAAATTTCCGGAGCCCTCCACTACAGCGTCTCTCATATTCATATGGTGGCTTTGAGACGTTAAACCCCATATATCAATCAATCTGTCTATGCGGACCCCGTGCCGCGAGCGTCGTTGGCGTGGTCATGTTAAATAGATCACGTGATTCGGGTGGGAGTGACAGGTTCTGTTAGTAAATACTATTCTCGGAAAAGATAAGGGGGTGAGGGTTTGATTTGCACGGCAATGAGAATATATTTGCACACATGAAGAAAAACGGAAAGGAAACCCTAAAATCTAGAAAAGGTAGACTAACCAGCGTCCGTCCGACCGAAAATAGGTATAATTGTCATAAACCAATCGAAACCTGTATTGCGCCTTACGAGTTCCCGCACTAGAGCCTTGACGCGCAACAACATGGGTATGGCTCACTAGAGGATCAAGCACACCTACAGTTCGGTGGAAAAGACGCAGCGGTGGGTGTCGGTGAGCTCAGGCTCGCTCCCGCTCCAGGTAGACGCCGTCAGAAGCGACGCTGTCTTCTGCCCAAGCAGCAGAACCACGCCGTGCCAGGGATTCAGTCAAAGCCACGACGGTACAGGGGTCGCCAGACACCCGTGAAGACCTTCGCCGGCTAGATGGATGCCTGGGAAGCGCGGGCACAATTACCATTTGAACTCACAATGACCTGGGATACACGCTAATTTCAGCTACTTCACATGAGACAGAACTAAAGATCGTAACGTCTCAAAGGTGCACGAGAGTTAGGTGAAGCTGTAAGAGCTGGTCCTATGGAGAGAGAATAGGTTATTCTCACCGTCCATCGGAAGTTTTAGCTGCGCCATGATGACAGCCATGAGCTCAGCTTCGAAAACCAAAGTAAAATCGAATAGCCTAACGGCGATTGACCCGCGAAGTGACTGGCAGACAATTCTTACGCCTGATCTTTCCTCATACAAGGAAGCATCTGATATTACGTCACGTGTTTGTGCATGTACCAGGAAAACTGTTTACCTGTTCCCTAAGACTTTGTGGAATTGAAAGTTAGATTCTGGAGGAAAAATGTAATCACAGGCCATCATGAGAAACTGATTTCAGTTATTATATACAATTACTTCTTGCGTGTTGGCATTTATACTTTCCCTTTTTTTTTTCTACGTTGATAATCTGAGGTGTGTGAAAACGTGGCCAATAAAAGAGAGCTCTTGTTACTGGCAAGCCATTTATATTTAGAAATGTTTGTACCGTTACTAAATGGAATCGACATAGCAATCAAGGCAGACAGACAAGCTTCCTGATAAATAACATTGATTGCTACAGACCTAGATAGCCCCATACACAAGTGCAGAGCTTCCCACTGCAAAATAATCAACAAATTAGTGTTATAAGCAGGTCTGCCTGACAACAACATGCATCGAAATTCTAAACTTAGGTGCATGTACACTTTATACAACATTAACAAGGTGTCCCTACGTACGCCAAGTTTGCGAATGCTCATTCTGCGCAATAAGTCCAAAGCCCGTTGAGTTTTAACTACTATACAAAGTATATGTGGATTCTAGTTAAGATTTTCATTGTATAAAACACCTAAATATTTGAGACATCCTACATGCGCAATGATATGTTCTTTATATGCAATAGAGAGTGAGAAAAAAACTCAGAGAGGAAAGCACTCTCGTTTACATCAAATCTCATTCAAATCATCTGAAGCCAATTTCCAGAATGTTCGTGTACATTTGTATTTTGTTGTAAAGCGTAGATATCACTGTTAGCTGCAAGGAATGCTACATCATCTGCATACACACAGACATACATATCCTCAGTGGTTGGTATGCAATTCATTAGTATATTGAATAAAAGTGGAGACATAACCACTGCTTGCCGAACTCCGCTACCCTGTTTGTATGAAGTCTTATCAACACGTTTATCAACAACACACAATGGTGTTATCAATAACACGCCCACACCTATAAATGGAAATTTCACCAGCCTCTGCGAAGATCTACAATGCCTCCAACAGAGTCACGTTAACGTCAACGCCACGCAAAATACATTTTACACATGCTAAGTGAGGTGGTAAGAAGGCGCTCACCGGATTGGTAGCGAACACAGAACAGTTCAGCAGGTCTTGAACACAACGCTGGTCAGACGAAAGGCAGAGGATACCACCCCTACTGAGATGGCTGAGCTCCGAGATACTCGGGAAGTGAGCTGTGATGGCTCGCAGCTCTACTTGTAATACTTTCAGATTCTCCATTCGTAGGGTACTATATCTGGTTCGGACCAAGGCCACAGCAACTGAAGAGATGCCGTTTCGCAAGAACACGGCCACTGGTATTTCCTGCGGGGGAAGAGAAATTGGCCTGAGGAAAACGCCTGGCCCGGATGAGGAAAACGGCATGTCCGATCTTACCAGCGCAAAAAAAAAAAAAAATGCTCACTGGTCGGCAATAACATTAACACTGAGCAAGAAGAAAATTTAGCTGTCACCACACAAACTTTAGCCACAACCCTCAGAATGAGAGAGCACTCGAACAAGATTGTTCTTTCTCCTTTTTAGGGCAGTGACTCTGAGTTCAGTTTTTGTTTTGCTTGAGTTTTTATTTTTTTTTTTCGTGCTTTGGTGCTCAGCGCGCTCGCGCAAGTAGCCCGTTGTACGTCGTCCTCGTCGTTCTTGGCACTCCTAACGCAAAAGCACACCCAATGCACGCACTTCACTCCCGACAGCGAAGAGGAAGGGTCTGTAGAGAGGAGAGGGACAGCGGACCACGTGACGACGCTCACGTAAGGCGGGCGATTCAAAGAGTGAATGGAGACGTCACGTGATGAGACTGCGTTGTCTAATTGATTGATATGTGGGGTTTAACGTCCCAAAACCACTATATGATTATGAGAGACGCCGTAGTGAAGGGCTCCGGAAATTTAGACCACCTGGGGTTCTTTAACGTGCACCCAAGTCTGAGCACACGGGCCTACAACATTTCCGCCTCCATCGGAAATGCAGCCGCCGCAGCCGGGATTCGAACCCGCGCCCTGCGGGTCAGACTGCGTTGTCTAACCGTAGCCGATTGTATCAAGACAATACCAAAGAACTCAATTCGACAGGGTTCCACACGACAAATTGATCTTGAAACTTAAACGTATTGGCCTTCCCGAAATCCTTGTAAACTGGATTGCTGACTATTTAAATAACCGTGAACAGTTTGTTGCTATTAATGACCAGCGTTAGCAGTCTCTACAGGTCACATCAGGTGTACCCCAAGGAAGCGTTCTAGGGCCATTGCTTTTTCTTTTATACATAAATGATATTGTAAATGTCATCACCCCTTCTGTACAAATTAGATGATTTGCAGACGATTGTGTTTCGTTCCGGGATATTAACACTTTAGATGATCAAAATGAACTTAACTCAAACCTTCATAATATTCATCTGTGGTGCAATGAGTGGGGAATGATCCTTAATGCAGAAAAGAGTGTCTGCATGCGTTTGACACGTAAGAAAGTTCCACTAAATAATACGTACCAGCTTGGGTCTTCAACTCTTAGAGAGGTTACAAGCTACAAATATTTGGGCCTAACTATAACTAGTAATTTGTCTTGGAACATGCATGTAGACAACATATGTTCAGCTGCCTTTCGGAAACTTGGTTTTCTAAGACATAAACTGCGTACCTGTCCTGCCAATGTAAAGCTTCTTAGTTATTATTCTTTTATACGACCTAAACTGGAATACGCCAGCATTGTATGGGACCCTTACACTAAGCTTAATATTAATAAACTTGAGCGGGTTCAAGGGAAAACTGTTCGGTTTATATATTCGAAATACTTACCATCGAATTCACCTTCCGCGCTGATGTCTGCAAATGACATTCAGGCCCTTGAATCCCGCAGACGCGAACAACGGCTGGATTTCCTTCAATTATTACTTAATCAAAAACTCGCAATCGATTCATCGCCTTACTTATCTTTTCTGTCAACAAGGAACACACGACATCATCATCCCAATTTGCTAACCCCATTTTTTGCGAGAACCGATGCCTTTATGTATTCTTTTTTTCCGCGAACAGTGTCGGACTGGAACAAGTTATGCGAACCTCATTAACGTATGTGTAACGTATTGTAAAGTATGAGGTATGCAATGTATTGTCGTTGTTTGGCGTAAGTTACTACTTGTGTTGTGGAACATAGTTTAATGCAGTGTTGTAGAACCGGGTGTGTTGTTGCTTTGCATATTGAAGTTTATTGTAGTGTATAGAGCGAAGCGTGATGTTGTTACATAACGAAGTGTATTGTAGCGTGTCAAACAAAGTGTGTTTTTCGTATGATGTACGTCATTACGCCTGTGGTATGCGTGACGTGCCCTTCCTGCTTGGACCACTTAGTGTCCGCAGTATGTATTAAATTTTAAAAAATTAAAAATAATAAAAATATGAATGCAGCTTTTTATTGTGAATTTTGCTATGTAGTACTAAATAATGTACATCCAGTGCCCCGAAGTGTAAGCCATCGAACAGAAGGAATGCTGCCTCTGAAAAGGCAGCAAGCACGCTGAGTGTGAGAGGAAAAGTACAGTAAAAATAAAAAGGAGTCTAGCGTAACCCACGCTGCCTAACTGTAATTAAAGATCTGACATGGCTCGAGTGCAAAAGTAACAAAAAATCACTTAAAAGTTGTAGGTCAAAACGATATAACAAAATTCAAGAACCGATAGTAACGGGAAAGCCGCTTCGTTTTCCGAGGATTTTCATGACGTGGAAGTGGCTACACTTTTCTGCGCAAGACGCTACGAGTTCCAATAAGCCCCACTTAAAAAAAAATATATCAGAATCGTCTGTGAAATTCAGGTTACGACATGGCACGACTTTTCCACAAATATTGGTTCAGCTGTCTAACACACTTTAACCGTCGCTTTAAAAAAGGGTATAGAGAAGGAGGGAGCGCCATCCCTAATGTCGCCTTGCACAGACAGTTCCTTTGTTTTCTAAAGGTAACTTCGTAACCTTTTTAGTTTTCGCGACACCATTTTTATCAACCGCTAACAAGACGTCTAGAAACATCTTTCAGGTGACACTGCTAAGCTTATGGCAGAGAGTTAATACGCATGACGATTGTATACTTTACAATTAAATTGCGCGAGGGCGGGCATAGATTGCAGACACCATATTACAGGGTCTGAGCGGGGATCGAGCCCGAGTCATTTCCGTGGCAAGTAGGTGCTCTACCACACAACCACGCGTCTGCTTGATAATACAGTGAAAATAACTTCCTCTACTTGGAAATGCAGTGAAAGCAAGTTTCATGCTTTACAAGCACACGCATCCTTGACACAACAACATCAGATATTGCAGCAATAATGCGTGGTACAGGCGTAGATTGCCATCTGGTGTCAGATCATGATATTATCACAATAACTTCATTGTTTAAAGCCAGTCACTCACTACAAAATGCACGCAGGATACTGCACCTACTTCCCTAAGGCCACGTAGTGAGTGCATAGAAAGTTCGAAAACATTTAATTCAGTAAGTGTTTGAAGTACGCACTAGATACAAAATATTGCTGTTGGGCTCAACCCTCAACAGGGAAGCTTAAGGGTCCCCCAATTTTTATTGCAAGAATTGATCCCTTGAATGTGTGCACCATTGATGTTACCACTTACAATATGGCATAGAAAAAAAGGGGGCGGAGAGGAGGGAACAGCACTGAAAGTGGTTTCAGGCGCCTACGTTAGAGCGAAACAACTGGGAAATGATAGACTAGCTGTATTTAAATTTAAATTGCCTATTTACAATCTGTCATCATCATGAATGCTTGAATATGCATCATCAGCACGGAACACCAAATATGAGAACCATATAAAACTATTACATAAAGTACGAAATCACTCAGTCAGTTTCTTTCTGAACAACTACCGAATAACTGCCAGTGTTACAAACATTAAAGACATTCTACACCTTCCAGCGCCATCACACCACTAAAAAACTGTCTCTACTTTTGTAATTTCTAATAAATCTAATACCACAGCTTGTATTTACATCCTATATTCATTAAGCCATCGCCATACATTTCATCGCGCATAGATTATCACCAAAAATGAAGCATTCCACACAGCAACACCTTTGGTTTTTCACATTCATTTCCCCCCAAAACAACAACAGATTCCTACAACCTACCAGCAACACTCACAAGCATAACTAACACCAATAACTTCGAAATCACACTTCCGTGTTTCATTTCAAGTTAACATTAGTGTTTGTTGATTTGATTGATATGTGGGGTTTAACGTCCCAAAACCACCATATGATTATGAAAGACGCCGTAGTGCAGGGCTCTTGAAATTTTGACCACCTGGGGTTCTTTAACGTGAACCCATATCTGGGCACACGAGCCTACAACATTTTCGCCTCCATCGGAAATGCAGCCGCCGCAGCCGGGATTTGATTCCGCGACCTATGGGTCAGCAGCCGAGTACCTTAGCCACTAGGCCACCGCGGCGGGGCAACGTCAGTGTTTGTTTTATACCTTTGATTGTTTCATATGTTTTTGCTATACTACTAGAAATTTTGTTTTGATTATTGTCACTTTTCCGCATTGTTTTTTTAATTATCACGTTTTTACCACGTTTCGCATTATGTCTTTACCTCTTGGCAGTGTATTGAGTGTATGTATATTGAACGAGCTCATATTCTAACACTTCCGGGACAATTAACGGTTTTGATTACTGCATAATTGGTTACGCCTACTTTTGCCTTTCACATTTGTAAAGTGTCACTGATATTTTCTATCTATATTTTGTACCTATAACAAAGTAGTTCTTATGTATCAGCTTTTTCTCCTCTCCTCCTCAATGTACGTTTGTACCATGAGGGTATTAGAAATAAATAAATAAATAAATAAATAAAATCACCCAGACTACGCCCACTGCAGGACAAAGGCATCTTCCATCAACCACCAATAAAGACAGTCCTATGTTTTCTGCGACCACGTTACACCTACAAACATCCTGATCTCATCTGCCCACCTAACTTTCTTTCTTCCTCTCATGCATTTGCCATTAAAAAAAACGCAAAATAGCAAATCGATTTTTTGCTTATCAGTAAAGTACAATTGCGGAAACACGAAAAGACCACTCTTACCGCGACAGGACGCTTTATAAGCGAGGAAATGCGGGTGGAGACGCCCTCATCAGGTTCCAGTACCAAACACCATGACGTAGATTTTGAAAGTATCTCCGGAATCCTACGTAGTGATAAAACGATACATCGACATCTATGGGTGCCACAGACCTAGAATACGAAGCTTTAGAAAATCTCATTGAACAAATGTCGCGAAAATACGAAAAA